ACGTGTAAGCTTCGCAGCTCCGAAGAACCCTCTCGGTGTCCCCAGTCTGAGAGCCGGGGTTCACCCCCACCCACCCTGCTGGCACCTCAGGGAATGAGGTTCCTGTGCGATGTTGGGGTGGGGGTGGGGGCTGTGCTTTCTCCCCGGGGGGCGGTCCGCCTGCTTGGGTGTTGGCCCCTCTGTCTGTCCCTGCTGAGCCCCCCCTCCCAGGGGCAGGGGCAGGGGCGCAGGGCTAGTGCGTCTGCCCGGCGCTGATGGCTCAGGCTCCTCGCTGTGGAGGAAGGAGCCTGGGATGGGGGAGCGACCCCCTGTGTGTTGTCACTTTCCCTGGACTAGAGTCCTGTGGTGTCCCCTCTCCCAGGTGGGCCCCAGGGTCCAGGATCGCCTCCCAGCATCACCTCGCAGTGGCCCCCGTCCTGGTCCTCGTCCTGGGGAGGGGGGGGGGGCCTAGGTGTCCGTCCCCTGGACTCAGCCCTGCTCTTCCTGGGGCCTTTGTGTGACAGCTCTCCCCACCCCCAGGGGAAGTCGGGGGGCTCCCTTAGTCGGGGCCTTTCATCTCCTGAGCGTTGGCTCCCGGCGTGGAGAGCTTCTCACTCGCCCACCCTCAGCGCTGGTTCCTGAATCGGGATGAGCCTGCCTCTGGACCAGCGGTTCTCAACCTGTGGGTCGCAAACAATGAAAATATATCCTGCATATCAGATATTTACATGACGATCCAAACAGTAGCAAAGTTACAGTGATGAAGTAGTCACAGAAATAATGTTATGATTGGGGGTCCCCACAACATGAGGAACTGTATGAAAGGGTCGCAGCTCTAGGGGGTCAGTTCCTAGGGGGGTCTGGGAGGATTCCCAGAGCGTATGTATGTCCTTTGCTGGGGACCTCGGTGTGGGGTGTTCCTCTGTGGCCGAGGCCCCCGCCCGCTGGAGTGCCCGGTCTCCAGGGCACAGGTGTCCGGGGCTGTCTGCTGGCCCTTCTCTGGAGGAGCTGCCGCCCAGGTCACGCATGTCCTGTCCGGGTCTCGGCTGTGTCCCTTGGAGGTTCTGCCTGAAACCTTCTCCCCGGGCTCGGGCTCTGGTTCCCCTGGTGCCGGGCTCCCAACTCCTTCAGGACTCGCGGCTGCAGTCCCTATAGTCCCTACCCTCTAGGGCAGCGGTTCTCAACCTGTGGGTCGCGACCCCTTTGAGGGTCAAACGACCCTTTCACAGAGGTCACCTAAGACCATCCTGCATATTAGATATTTACATGACGATTCATAACAGTAGCAACATGACAGTGATGAAGTAGCAACAAAATAATTTTATGGTTGGGGGTCCCCATAACATGAGGAACTGTATTAAAGGGTCACGGCATGAGGAAGGTTGAGAACCACTGCTCTAGGGGGTCAGCTCCTCCCTGCCAGGCATTCCGACCCTCAGGGGGGTGGAGCGGCCTCCCTGCCCAGGAGCGTGTGCAGCACCTTGTGTAGGGGCATCCGCGGTGTCTGCGTCCTGGGGAGAGGCAGGGAGCACGCGCTCTCGTGTGACATCCTGTTCTCGTTCCACCCTGGGCAGCAAGAGGCTTTTCTGGGCCCCTCAGCCGCATGTTGGGGTCTGGGCCCCATGTGCTCCTTGAGTTCCCTCTGGGCGGCCCTCTCCTGGGCTGTACGGCTGCTTCCTGTCCTGGCGCTGGGCGGTCGGGCTCGGCCCCTCCTTGGCCGGTCAGCTGGCCCTGGGCTGAGAGTGGCAGGTTCTCTGGCTGGGCCTGTTGCAGAGCAGTGTTCGCCCTCCAAGCCCCAGGTGCCACACCCACTGCCCCCATGCAGAGGGGTCCCTGTGGGGGGCCTCCCTGAGGTTAGGGGCCTGCCCGTCTCTATGGGCCCCCGCCCGGTCCGAGGCCTGCTCTCTGGCCACGTGGGAGGTAGTGCTGACTGTGAACTTAGGAGTGACAGGTTCCGGCCACTTTGCGAGTGGAGTGCTGAGTGTCCGCGCAGCCGCAGGACGGTGCTGAGTGTCCCCCTGTGGGCGGGGACTGCTTGGGTTGAGGCTCGGTCGTTGGCATAGGGCTCCCTCTTCCTCGTCCCCCACCTCGGAGCCCAGGGCGCTGGGCCTTTCAGTAGAGGCCGCCTCTCGGGGGGCAGCCTGGCGTCGGGAGTCCTCGTGTGTAACCCTCGCTGCCAGGCCCCGCTCTCCCCTGGTCTTGATGTCGGGCCCTAAGGTGTAGCTTCCTCCCCCAGGCAAAGCTCCTGGTGACCCCTGAGGGCCTCAGCCCCCCTGGGGTGCCTGCGAGTTCTTCAGGGTGCAGGTGCCCCTCTGAGTCCTGGGTGCTTGCCCTGGCGGTGTGTGTTTCCGAGTCTCCATTTCCGATGCTCTGATATGTAACTCCCTCCTGCGTGCAGATAGCTCCTCTCGGCGAAGGTCCCCTTTCACCCTTCGTCTCCCGCAGAGCTCTCCTCCCGGCCCCTTGGGTCGCTGCCTGCCCCAGACCCGGCCCTTCTGGCTGTGGTCCCTGAGGGTGGGCATGTTGTCTCCTTTGGTTTCAGCATCGCTCTGGGATAGACTTTTTCTACTTGGGACCCAGCCCTGTCGGTGGGGGGGTTAGCGCTGCCCGGTTACGGCGTGTCTGCCCCCCACGCCCCCTCTGACCCTTACAGCTCACACACTCGGTGCCGGCCCTTCTCTGGGGGGCGCAGCTGTTCTGTGCCTCCCGACGTGGCTGAGGGTGCCTCTCGGGTGTTAGGGGCTAGTCCCCTGCGTCCCCGACCCCTCGGTAGGAAGTGAGGCCTCCAGGTCTCACCTTCGTCCCGGCAGGCAGCTGTGTGCGCGGCCCTTTTCTGCTCTGATAAAGGCGTTGGAGTGTCATCTGGGGCCAGGTGCCCCACACTCTAGGAATTTTCCACTTCCTGGGTCACACGTACACAAAAGTATCTGTGTTTCCTCGTTTTAACAAAGTTCAGGCCTGTGCTGGGCAGGTGAGGCAGCATGGAGAACTGGGCCAGGTCCTGTCATCGATAGTAGATTCCTCCTCCCTTTCCCGTCCCCTGAGCCCCTCTTCCCAGCCTCTCCTGTCTGGGTTTGCACCAACCAGAGAGTAAATGTGTGTTCCTTCCCCCTCTCTCCCAGCAGCGTCTGTCTCCACGAGAGTATGAAGAGAGTGCGCCTATAGGGCAGGGAAGATGGCGGACAAGCGCAAACTCCAAGGTACTGGTGGCGGCCCACACCTGCGGCCACGGGCCCTCGGAGCTCCTCCTGGGTGCCTGCTGCCCGGCAGGCGCTCACTGCCCTCCCTCCTTCCTTCCTTCCGCAGGTGAGATTGACCGCTGCCTCAAGAAGGTGTCCGAGGGCGTCGAGCAGTTTGAAGACATCTGGCAGAAGGTACTGGTCTGGGCCTACGAACCTGGGTCTCCAGCGAGCAGGGTGTCTGGGGAGGGGGTGCTGAGGACTGAGGGAAGCAGCTCTGAGATGGGTTGGGGGGTGTCCTCAGAGTCCCGGGCACATAGAGACACGTGGGCACTAGGGCAGCCCATCCTGGGGGGTCCCAGCGTCCCCGGCACAGACTGGCGTGGGCACTGGGGCCGCGAGTCCCACGCTGACGGCGTGCGTTCTCTCCTCCCCAGCTCCACAATGCAGCCAACGCGAACCAGAAAGAAAAGTATGAGGCTGACCTAAAGAAGGAGATTAAGAAGCTTCAAGTGAGGGGCTGGGGGCCGGGACGCCTGTGTCCTGAGGGTGGTGGGACGGGAGAGTGGACTGCTGGGTCCCAGGCAGAGGAGGGCCGGGGCCTCGGTGCCCGGGTGCCGAGGAGTCTGACTGTCTGGCTTCTCCCTGCAGCGGCTGAGGGACCAGATCAAGACATGGGTAGCGTCCAACGAGATCAAGGACAAGAGGCAGCTCATAGACAACCGCAAGCTCATTGAGACGGTAGGAGCAGGGCCTGGCCTCTGAGGCGGGAGGGCCCCGAGGTCCTGAGAAGAGGAGGGGAGGGGTCAAGGTCGTGGAGCGAGAGACCAAAACCAAAGCCTACAGCAAGGAGGGCCTGGGCCTGGCGCAGAAGGTGGACCCCGCCCAGAAGGAGAAGGAGGAGGTCGGCCAGTGGCTCACGGTGAGTCAGGCCGAGAAGAGGTGACCTCGGGGCCCTGCCCCAGGCATCGCAGGGGACGCTGGCTGACCCCGCCTTTCCTCCTCCCCCAGAACACGATCGACACCCTAAACATGCAGGTGGACCAGTTTGAGAGCGAAGTGGAGTCGCTGTCGGTGCAGACGCGCAAGAAGAAGGGCGACAAGGATGTGAGTGGGGCCGGCACCCTGAGGGTGGGGTGGGGTGGGCTGGCTGGTGGAGTCAGGGCCTAGCTGACTGGGCTGGTGCAGGGAGGAGGTGAGGCAGGCCCAGTGCCTTCTGGGTGAATGGTCTGGTGAGGAGGAGGAGCAGTGGGGGGAGGGGAAGAGTTCTGCCTGGGTCGCACAGTGTGAGACCTGTCGGGCCGGGGTGGGAGGCCCAGCAGCTGCAGCCCTGGGTCCCCAGGAGGGGACTGGGTACAGGCAGGCGAGGCAGGAGGGACAGTGCATGCGGCCGAGGAGCAGTGAGGCCTGGGACGGCCGGAGGCTCGGGCCTCGGGCTCCAGAAGCCAGGATGCAGGTTGTGAGTTCGCAGGGTGCAGACCCTGCTGTTGGCATGGGCAGCACAGGGAACAGAGCTGCCCTCGGAGCCGGCGCGGGGCTGGCCTGCCAGACGGAGGTGCAGACACGGTGTGGGAGGTGTGAGAGCCGAGGGCTCTGGGGACCGGGCTCGGAGGGGGCCAGAGCCACGTGCTGAGTAATGTTCCAGTCAGCGAGGGTCTGCGTGCGGGTGGGCCATGAGCTGATAACATTGTAAGCAAAGGCTGACTTGTGGTGTTGAAAGGAAAGGCTGGACCCAACTACGATGATGGAGTTGCTGCCTGGGCGGTGGTTTAAGTGGAGGAGGCTCAGCGTGCAGTTCCCACCCTGTGCAAGGAGGGGCGCCCCGGAGCCTGCCCCCGCCCGCACCGCACACATGCACACGGTCGTGTGCACACACTCACTTCCCTTG